AGCCAGGTGCTAGAGTGGGGAGGGGAAGCGGATCTGGTGGCTGTTGTTGGCAAATCCAGGTCTCCAGCTCCAGTCCTGACCCCCAACTTTCCTTCCACAACACCTGAGCCAGCTCTGGGCCCTCTGCTCCGCGCTGGAGACCCCACAAGGAGCCATGGGCCAGCCCCGCCTGCCAGCACCTCACTCCCAGCAGTTTTGATCCAATAACCTGGCGTGGAGCCCAGGAATCCACATATTGACATGAGCACCCCACCCCCTGAAGACCCCTGCCCTGAAACACACTCTTGCTTGCCTTGTGATGCTGACAGCGACAACAGGGCCTACTTCCACAGCAGTCTGAGCCCCTCTCTTCAGGCAGACATCACCCCTCACTCGCCTGGCTTTGCTTGAGCACCAGGAAGTCTATAATTCTGCTTCTCCCCAAGAGAAACTTCCAGACCCTCCATTTCTGCCACCCTCCACTTTTTATCAGCAGCAACCCCCAGAATCGGATCAGATAATTCCTCAGTTCTTATAGTTTTCCTTCCGGAGCTGCTCCTTGATCTAGAGCCTCCCAGACTCCCAGCTTGTAATGTTACAACAGCTGCTCAGTCTTCCCACTAAACCATCCCTAAGCATTGAAACTGCCTCCTTCACAACTTGCCTACCACCTACCTGTTCTACAATTTTCCCTGGTATTTTCCTTAAGTTGACTTTATAAAGAAGCCTGGATATATCGATCTCAAAGGAAAACATTCTAAAATTGAACACAGGGACTCAAACACAGACACACTAATGCTGACAGCAGCTCCGTTCATAATAGAGGAGAGATGAAAACAACCAGTGTCCACAGTCCATGAACAGCTCAACACATGCCAGCCAGGGGCTATTACTCAGCCATAAAGAGGAAGGAAGTTCTGGCACAGACCACAACTCCATGGACCTTGAAGGTGTTTTCCCAAGTAAAAGAAGCCAGACACAAAAGAACAAATATTTGTTGACCTGCTTATATGGCACAACAAAGTAGCCAGGTTCACACCGATGGAAAGAAGGTGGGAAGTTACCAGTGGCCATGGAAGGGAGAAAGAGGAGTTAATGATTAATGGGGACAGAGTTCAGTGGAGGATGAAAGAAAAGTTCTAGAGATCATCAGCAGTTTTCTATCACCACCTCAAGTGGAAAAGAAAAATCAGTATCACTTGTCATTGAAAATAAAACAATGTTGGGCCTCCCCTGGTGGTGCAGGCAGTTGAGCGCCGTGCTGTGAAGCCGTCCACAGCCTCTGCAGGGCCGGTTCGATCCTGGCGGAGCAGCGAGGGTCCCACATGGCGCGGCAGACCTCTCCTGTCTCACCCGCTACTCCCCTCAGCAGTGTATTTCGTCAGTCTGCCTGTTCTGTTTCCCTGCTCTGTCTCTGGTGAATCCTCTTATCCTCCCGAGCATCTGACCTGTTCCCTGGTTCTTGTATAAAATAAATAAATAAATCTTTAAAAGAAAATAAAACAGTGTTATCAAAATGCCAACTGCTCTTCCACTTGGTTAAAAAGAAGCAGGATTTAAGCTGTTAAATATGCCCAGGCAGGGCCTCCCTGGTGGCGCAGACGGTTGAGCACGGCGCTGTGAAGCTGTCCGTGGCCTCTGCAGTGCCGGTTCGATCCCCACCGGCCACGGAGATGCCCACATGGCACAGCAGACCTCTCCTGTCTCACCTGCTACTCCCCTCAGCAGTGTACTTCAGTCAGTCTGCCTGTTCTGCTCCTCACTCTGTCTCTGGTAAATCCTCTTGCCCTCCTGCACATCTGGCCTGTACCCCAGATCTTGTATAAATAAATCTTAAAAAAGAAAAAAAAAAAGATGCCCAGGCAGGGGTTGACAGCAACTGAAACCACCCAGACCTGTGTCTGGACCAGCCATGGGCATGGATCAAAGTCTTTGGAAAGCTCCCTTCTGCCCATGACTGCCTCTTCACCTTTACCAACAATTTCTCTAGAACTTTCACAGCTCCTCTTGGCCAGAGCAAGCATCTGGCAGTTTTAATGCTCTGTGCATGACAGGCATCCAGAAAACACCTCAGAGATGTGCCTCGAGGAAGTCATTGGTCTTGGTGAAAATGAGTGGTCTGGAGGCCAAGTCCAGAGCTTCTCCTCCCTTGACTACTCCCCTGAGTGCCCAGGGCTGACCCTAGACCTGCCAGTAGGGTCCAAGAATAAATTTTCCTACTCAACTCTTCACCAGGTAGCAAGAGCTGAGGTCTCAGAACATGAAGCTGGGCCCCTGACGTCAGACTGACTTTACCGTGCCCACCAGTCTCCCCGTGTCAACCCAGAGCCTGCCCTGCCCCACCCCATCAGCACTGGACTGGGCTGTCAGGAGACCTGGGTTCAAATCCTTACTCTGCCAGCATCTGGGCTCTGTGGCCTTTGACACAATCTCCAGAGAAAGTCCTCTGAGGTGTTGTCACGTGGAGAGGATGAAGAGGTGGAGCCCCATGGATGGCTTTAATGCAAATGTGACGCCTCACCTCAGACAGGCAATCTGGGGGCTGGGCTGGAGGCCCACGCGGGGCGCAGCAACCCCCTGTCTGGGTTATCTCTGAGGACACTTGCCCACCCCTCCTGTGTCAGCCATCCTGAGGCTTCAAAGGCGGTGAAGTGCTCAGGTGGTGTCCATTCTCCCTTTGTGCCACCAGGCCCAAGGTCTAGAAGCACAGTTTCCTTGACCTTCTGATTGGCCACGAGTGTTTCTTTTCTGGGGGATGGGAACACAGAGGCAAGCACCTGCCTATTGGGAGCTCCTGGCTGACTGGAAGCCGGCCCCATGGGCTCCTGGGCTCCCGGGGTGGGCTTGGGGGCCTGTCACACGTGGGACTCAGGAGAACTGAAGGTTCCGAAGGCCACAGATGGGGCTAGGCATGTAGCTCCAGTTCTGGCGTCCCGGGACCCAGAGAGAGAACGTTCAGAACCCATTGATTTCTCTTCTTAGACGGTTTAACTAGCACCCCAATATCAAGTAGAGATGCCAAGCATCGAAGACAGTCCAGGAAAGCTCCCTTGCTTCCCAAGATGACCAAAGGAGAATGAGATTCCTCCGGTCTGCTCCCTAAGGGGGCCACTCCCCAAAGGTGCCGCTCCCCATGGCTCCGGGACCCCTCCAGAACAGGGCGCCCAGGCCGCAGAGCCCAGAGGGGCTGTGATCCAAATGAAACTCGGAGAAAGTTCCCCTGGCCAGAGACCCCTCTGTTTCCACCTCTGCGCTCCCCTGCGCGCATTTCAAGATTCTAGCAGCCCCGGCCGCCTGCTGAGCAGCCGCCTCCTCTCTGGGGACTGTCCCGCCTTCCGCTGACTTTCCCGCCTCGCAGCCCCGCTCCAGGCGCTCTGGTTCCCCCGCGGAGTCCTTCCAGGGATGCCGGGAGGGAGGCTCGTGGGGGGTCTCAACTGCAAAGCCCCTTCCTCCTCCTCCCAGCCTACCTGTGTGACCTCCGGCCAGGCGCTGTCCGCGCCATCCCCAGCCCAACTGGAGGGGTTTCCAGTGGGGACCTTGGTCACCTACCCCTGTCCCCGAACTCCCGGTCTCCGGGCTGCTGCTGCCGGCTTCTGCCTGCCACCGGTTCTGGTGCTGCAGTGAACTCAGGCTGAGGAGTAGCTGCCTGGTCACCCCACCTCCGCCCGCACCCCGTGGCTGTCCTTTATTCGCTTTCACTTTCTCTGCTCTGCAGGGCAGGGGCCGAGCTGGGAGGAGAGCCGCACCCTCTACTCCCCCAGCCTGTGCCCACCACGTGCTTTCACTGAAGCGCCTCTGCTGCTGCACCCCGCCTCTGCTGCCGCACCCCGGGGCATATCCAGAGCGGTTCCACCAGTTCCTTGAGCTGGCCACACCGGCTGCTGGGGAGCAAGTCCTCTTGCCCAGGTGAACTGCAGGCACCTCTCAGCCCCCGACTCCAGTTCCCACCCCCACACTCCCTGGCCGCTTTCCTCCAGTCCTTCCTCCCAGGGCCCAGGCCCTGCTCCACCCACCTTGAGACCTGTCCCAGCCCTGACAGCCTTTCCTGGGGCTGAGGGGGTGGGTCAAGGTGACCTCCCTCGCCTGCTCAAAAGCTCCCCTCACAAGCCCTGCCTGCAGTCATTGCAGTTGGCCCATTTGAGATCAGTCTGTGGGGCTCACGGAAGCCACAGATTTCAGGGTTGTCTGAGGTGTGGGTCCCACCCCTGTCGACCACACAAAGGCAACAAAAATATTGGGCTCAAGTGATAATATTCAGTCCCAGCTACAAACCGGGCACAGTGCTGGATGCTTTGATTCTCACCACTGTTCTGCCGTGGGGGTCCTGAGGAGCCCATTTTACAGGCCAGGAAAACCCGGGAGAAGGTGGTTGACAAACTCAGCCCCCAGCCAACAGTGTTGCTGAGACTCAAACCTGCCTTCAGGGCTGGGGCCGGATGTCTGTGCTATGTTGTCTTTTACCAACTTCCCCTATCCCCCACTTCTCAAAAAACACAGTTGGAAACCGGGGAGGCAGGGCAGCACCTGCCCAGGTGACTGCCTATTGCCAGCAACGGTGGGATGGGGGCTCAATAGACACACCCCGGCATGGTTTCCCGGTTTCCCGGTTTCCCTGTTTCCCTGGGGATGGAGTAGGATCCGGCAGGGATCCTGTCCTCAGAGGGCACCCCCTCAGTGTTTACCTGGCAGAGAGACTACCCGGTGATGGACCCAGCCAAGCCATCAGTGTGGCACCCCCCCCCCCACCCCAAGACCGCCTCCTAGAGCCCTTCAGCCCAGATAAAGCCTCTCACATTCCAGGCTCCTGGGCTGACCTGACTGCCCTTCAAGTGACTAACCAACCACCTCACTTCTTCCAACAGCCCCGCAGGACAAGGGCCTCCCTCTCTGCCCCCAACCCCACTCACTTCGGAGCAATCTCTGAGTGTATTTGGGATGGCAGGAACAGCTAAGACCTCACCCTGAGTGAAGACGCATTCTCAGCCCCAATTTCTGACTTCTCCCCCACCTTGCCTTTTTACCTTGGGGCTCTGGCAGGTAGGACCCCGCTGGGCGTGGAGCCAGGCAGCGCATGGTGTGGGAAAGGCAGGGAGACAGCAGTTCCAGGAGTCTAGCCGCCCCTTCTGGGGCTCAATCTGCGCAGCTAAGCCAGTGGATGCCCAGCTCAGGAGTAGGCAGACTTAGCACTGGTCTCTACATCCTTAGAAGCCCGCCAAGACGGTAAGCAGCCCTCAAGGGACCATCAGAAAACTTTCCCCCTCCAAGGTGGCTTACAGCTAGGAATTTGTGTTTAGACAAACTCTAATTTGCCCACACTCCCTTAAGCTCGTCCCCTAAATCTCCTCCCCTATCTCTTGTTAATTTCTGTTCCTCGTTGATTGAATGGGATGACCGCAAAGGTTGTGAACTGACACACTGACATGCTGAAATGACGCGCCCTCCACAGACATACACATGCCAACTGCCGGTACTAACTGCCGCCCTCTGCAGAATGGGGCTGCAAGCCCCACAAATGTCTCAAGACCTGTTGAGCACCCCTGCTGGGCCTGTGCTCCTGTCTCCTGCCTTCCCTGGGGATCAGGAGTGATCCACCCATCACTTTTATCCTAAGGCTTTAGACTGAAGCATAAATTATATATAAAAGGGTACGGTATGTTTATAGTCTGGTTTGGTGCTAAGCAACATTGACTGACACAGGTGGATAGGAAATAGCTTTTCAAATCTCTGCCCAGACTCCTGATGCAACTAGGAGAAAGTCTCCATTTGGGGCTAATTTGTCTTCCAAGGCATGATTCCCCCACATTTTGCAAAGAGCAGACCCTGCCTCTGCACGTACGTAGACATCAATATCTGATTAGAACCCAGAAATATGGCCTTGCCTTCCGGTTCAACTGCGGGTGACCTGGTGGTATTCTTTTTTCACTGATGGTAGATGTAACTAGTCCTTGCAAAATGAAGTGAATGAAATGAAAAAATAGGAGTGGTTGGGGGGAAAAAAGCGCTGTTCAGTAAATATAAATGTATAGCTGGTGTGCAGAAATCGTGAGGTGGTAGTGGAATGAATAAAGTGTGGGAGATAATGATTAAGCACTGGCATTCCCCCCACCACACACACACACACACAGCACTGTCATTTTTCACTGAGGAGCACAGGACTGAGAGTCTGAGGGACCTGCTCCAGCAGGCGTTGTGACTGCACACCCCTCACTTCCTGCGTATGGGCCTCATACTTCATTCATGTATGAAATGATTATAACAATGCCTATTTTTATATGACGATTATTTTAAAACAGTCACTATTTTCAGAAGTCCCCAGAGGGGGGAGGCCTCCAGGGGGAGCCCCTTCCTGTCCTCAGCAGCCCCCCATCTGAAAATCCCCATTTGGGGCTAATCTTTCAAAAGAGGCAGGGCTGAGCTTAGGATGAGAGTTTACCTGGGGGCTCACCTGCTTGGGTGCCAGCCTATCTCACCTGGATGACAGCAGCAGCCTGCCTCCTGTCTCCCCACATGCTCCCTGATTTCCTCCAGACCAGTGCTCCCAAGAACCCACTGTGGTCACGCCTGCACAAAAGGTTTCTGAGTCTTTGGTGCCGGTACCAGTCTGTATATCTGCTTGATGGCAGATTGCACAGGAAGGACCTGGGGGACAGAGGCCCAGAAGCATCATAGTGGTGCCCAGCCAGGAGCTGATGGGGGGGGGGGGTCGGGTCTGAATTTCAGCAGGGGCAGCAGCAAAGGAGAGGGGAGGAGTGGGGGACTGGCTGATGCAGAAACAGAAAGACAAGCTGAGTGGTGGGGGCTGGGAGCTGGAGGAGCGGAGGGGTTAAGCAGACCCTGGCATGTCTGCCTACTAAAGCATTCTGCATTCCTGCTGAGAACTCTGGGGGAGTCCTCTTCAAAGCTCCCCACAGAGTGGCCAGAGAGGAGGTCTGCCCCTCCCATCGGAAGGGCCCTCTCAGCACTGTTTAGACACGCTTATCCGGAGCAGCTGCATTTTTCCTCTCAAGTCCAAATCTAGCCAGGCAAAGAGCAGCAGACACCTCAGTCAAGCCCCCACCCTGGCATCTCCTGCCATGGAGAGGAGGTGCGGAGGTGGGGTGAACTTCAAAGAAAGAAGACCATTCTGGAAAGCTTGTCAGCCATTGTTCTAACCTCCCCAGACAGATGTTGCCCCATCCCTGCGTGTCTTGGGTTTAGCTGGGAATCCCTTTAGCGCAGGGCTCTGCTTTCTCCCCCTCCTCTTAGCCACCCTTCCAGGCCCAAGTTCCCACCTTCCTCACCCTTCCAGCTAACACTAGCCTGTTGTTTGTTTATCTTAGAAGAACATGTTGCCAGATATTCAGCAGCTCGGACAGACCTCCCACTTCACAGGTACAGCCCTCGAGGTCACTGGTGTCCGGGACCTGTGGGTGATTTCCTTATTTCAAAGACAGAAGACTCCAAGACCGAAGGGATGACTAGAGTTTGCATGTGGATGGTCAAGACCAACTCCAAATGGGTAAAGAGTTCTTCCTGAGCACCTTGCCAGAGCCTTTTCTTACGCTTATAATGAGGAAGGAAGGAAACGAAGTTGGTACAAAGGGAGGCAGGTAAATTAGAATAGAATAAAAGGAAGGTGTCCCAATTAGGCAAGTAGGTTTATGAGCTCATCGGCCTAGGGTGGGTAAGTGGATTTGTTAGGGGGAAAAGGCTGTCCTAAAGCTAATTCCATACAGGTTTTGTGGACTCCACCCCCACCCCAGGCCAAAGCCAAAGACACTGGGAACTCCAAATCCCATCACCACCAAAGGGAAGGTGACCTGAGGGTGGGGTTAAGCAGCCAGGTTGGTATAAAAGGCAGACACTGGGCTTTGGGGGGGGGGGTTCCCTTTTTGGCTCTCCGCCAGCTTGCAGCTCTCGGCCAGCTCTCGGAGTGCCTTTGGGGTTCCAGGTCTGCGGATTGGGTAGGACGCATTAAAGACTTTATTTCCCTATTTTCTCCCTGAGTTGTACATTTTCCTTATTTCCTTTTCCCTTGTAAAAAAACCTTTTATGAACCTTTTGTGTGTGTCTGTAGTGGAGTATTCATAAGTCCCTTGTAAGCGCGTGGGTGAGGACCCACAGCCAGGCAACCCGTTCAATATCGGGGCTGCCCTATAACAGATTAGCTGGGAGAGAGGCAGGGAAATGCGCGGCTGCACCAATATGCAGGGGAGTAGATAAGTACAAGACTGACAAGCTGATACATAGATAGATGAGCGTGGATGAGCCGACAGGTAGGCCTGGGTGGGTGGGTGGAGAGAACAGCTAAGTTGAGCGCAGGCAGGTAGGCAACCTGGAGGGTGGCTGGAGGGTTGAGACGGGGAGTAAGGACACGGGCAAGTAGCTCAAGTGACAACAGAGAACAGAAAGCATCCCTGGTTGGGTCAGGTACCGCAGCAGGATGCGAGCCAAGTCTGGAACAAGCCGCTGGCCAGCCCGGGAAATCCCATGGGGAAGTGCCAACTTCCGGGTGCAGGTGCTTCTCGCCCTCCTGCTCCTGGGGTGAAGGTGAAGTGGGACAGGGAAGCTGCCCCAGCGGGAAAGGCAATGTCAGCCTGCTCAGCACACCCCCTTTCAGGAACCCAGGCGACAGCAGAAACAGCTTCTTGGGAAAGCAAAGGCGGGTGGGGGCCCCTGATCTCATCCTAAGGGCCCAATGGGGAAGGAAGCTGGTGGAAGAGAGCTGCGTGGCCTGTGGTGAGTCTCTGCTGTTTCAGTGAATCAGGCGACATCCCAGAAGGAGATTTGTTCTCTGGTTCCTAGAACTGTCCCTGGGAAAAAAAACACCATCTTTTTTTGAAGGCCCTGAGCAGAGATTAACAAAGCAAGTCTGAGGAAAACACAAAATAGGAACCCGTGGAGGGGTGTCCGCAGCCTCTGAGCCAACTGGGGCTGCCTCCCCGGCCCCTCCTGTTCACCTCGGGTCTGTGGCTGCCTCAAACACCCCCCTCCAGGCGGACGGGCCCAAAGTAGCTTTCCTCCTGCCTGGAATGCGTGTGCCTTCCACTGGATGATGTCCTGAATCCCAGAACAGCCACGCGGGGGTGTCTCCATGTTACAGACCCACAGTTGAGGCCCACAGCTCCCAGGAAGTGCTCACAGTCACCCCTGTGGAATCCAGGCCACAGTCGGCACTCAGGCCGTCTGAGGGCACAGGCCACATGCCGAGTGGAGAGGGAGGCACATGACTCATCTCTTAACTGTGCACAGACCCTCACCGCTTGCCAGGTGCCTAGACAGGACCGGGTTCCGGTGAGTCTGGGGCATGAGTGCTTGCTCAGCACCTCAACTTCTGGTTTATTGTCACCTGTCCAGTTCCTCTTGCTGTTGCCCCTCAGAGCTGTCCACCGGATACCAAGCACTGCCCAGGAGGGTTTCCCAGCTGTCATCTCCTTCACGCCTCACCACAGCCTCAGGGGGGTTATAGCATCACTCCCATTGTAGGGCTGAAGAAACTGAGGTTCCAAGAGGTCCAGTCATGTGGCTGGTAAGTACAGAGCAGGCCCCAGATCCAGAACCAGACAGCTGTGCCTGCTCCTTTTTTTGTCGCCACCACCCCAGCTCTCTCGGCCTGAGGGTTTGCTTTGATTCCCAGAAAGGCTCCGAGTTCCTGCAGGACAAGGAGGACAACAGCCCCCTGTGCTCCGCTGGGGCTGCGCGCACACGTGCTGCTCTCACACTCCGGGCACAGCCCAGGAGAGGGCCTTCTGCACAGTTGCAATCCAAGCACTGCAATGACTGCAGGCCCTTCTGAGTCATCAGGCCAGCTACCGTTGGGGGCAGCCCAGCCTGCCTTTGGGAGATTTATGATATCCCTTTCAGCGGTTAGAAAAACAGGCAAGCAGAATATGTAGCAGCAGATTTAGACTCGTGAGGCCCAATAGCCCCCGTCCCCAGGCCAGGAGCCGAGGCAAATCACTCAATCTCTCTGTGACTCAACTTACTCATCTGTAAGCGAGACTAGGGGTAGCAGATCAATCACCCACCCAACACCTATCCACCCATCCATCCGTGCACCAACCCATTCATCCACTCAACATTCAACAAGTACACATGGCAACCTACTCTGCACCAGGCACTGTGCTGGGCATTTGGGATGCATCTGTGATCAGAGCACAGACTCCCTGTCCACATGGGTGTTTTCCAGTGGAGAGTCAGACAATAAACAACAAACACAAACGTGAGAGAGAGAGAAGGAGAAGATGTCATTCTAGTGAGGGGCTCAGATCTTTGCCCTCCCCGCTGTGGTGTTGCATGGATGGTCAGGGTAGGCCTGAGAAGAAGGAAACATTTGAGGAGAGCTGAAGGACACGAGCAGGTTGGCCAAGGTGATCTCCTGAAATGGGTGTTCCAGGGTGTGCGGGGAACGGCATGGATCTGTCCAGGACCTCTGGGTCCTGGAGGGGAGAGCACGGCCAGGCCCGGGGCCAGGAATGGGAGGAGCTGGCGTGGCTGGAGGAGGCGAGCAAGGCAGAAGAAGCGGGAGGTGAGCGCAGAGGACCTTGGGGTTTAGAGCAGAGGGGGCGGTGATCACTCCAGGGCTGTGGAGAGAGTTACAAAACACGGCACACAATTCTTTCCTCTTTTGAAGCCCTTTCGAGGGGAGAGCCAGCACCTTTCTTGACGAACCCCACAATCCTCCTCCCCAGTCTGCTCCCCCTGTGTGCCCCGCTGCAGCCCGCTGGCCCCTACCTAGTCCAAGATCAAGCCTGGAGCGGGCCTGGGTGGCAGGAGGGAGCCGAGAAGTTCCCGAAGCCATTTGTCATTTTCCGTCTCCCAGCCCCCCCAGAGACCACAGCACCCTGAGGCCAGTTCCCTTTCTAGAGTCACGTGGGTCACAAATAAAAATATTACATCCCCTGGGAGGAAACAGAGTCAAATAACAGGAACCAGCACTGGCAGAGAGGAGGAGGGGGCGGAGAGGTGTCAGAGGCCCGTGGAGGAGCCTGCAGTTGGGGTGGGGGGCAAGGAGGGCGGACGCCAGCCTGGCATCTGCACCCCACGGAGACCACAGGGCTGTTTGTCCCCACTCCACTGAGAAGCCAGCGAGATATATGGTGCAGGTAGTGAAGGGGCCTCTTTCCCTGGTGAAGATGTGGCCAAAGTACTTTCCGCTGAGAAATCCACCACCAGGAGTGCCGGCCCCTCAAGTCAGGCGTCTCCCTTTCAAATCCAGCCCCGACGCCTCCCACCTGGGCGCTGGGGCTGCCTCGCCTGCTCTAGGTGTGTAAGGATGGAGACCTTCCCAGGGTTTAGGGTGGGTCTGAGAGTGCCCCAAGGGGCTGCCTCGCCTGCTCTAAGTGTGTAAGGATGGGGACCCTCCCAGGGTTTAGGGTGGGTCTGAGAGCGCCCCAAGAAAGAGCCAGAACGCAGTCAGACTGGTCTGGAATGCTGTAAATACTCAATCAGTGTGAATCAGTGTTAATATCTCAAGTTTCCGACTTCAAAACCACAAAGGGGCAAATGATTAAATCAGAAAAGTACAGGTTTGCATGAAGAAGGAGCCAGAACGAACCTGTGTCTTTCACAAGAATGTTATTTTTGCTTCTAAGTGAAAACTTCATTGTAACTAGGAAGGGAGACCTGATGTGTCTGCAGAGACAAGGGTGGGAGTGAGAGCGACAATCACGTAGGCTTTTTTGGTTTTTCCTCATTGACGAAGCATCAAGTGTCATTAATACTCTGTAAAAACAAAATACTCTTCCGCCTCTCTCTCTCTGACCTAGTTCCTTTTCTCTGCCTCTTTATTTTGCCTCTTCCTTTCTCTCTTTCTCTGTCTGTCCTGTGATGTTTGTGCGCGCCCCCATGCACATGCACATGCACACACACATACTGCACATGAACACACATGACATCCTCTGTTCTCCAGCTCTCGGCTCTTTCTCTCAGCAGCATCCCCTTTCTCTTTGAACCACACTGATTGTGCCTACAGTGTTTTCCCCATAGACCATGAACCCCTTGCAGGCAGGAGCTGCTCCCTTTCAAATCCAGCCCCGACGCCTCCCACCTGGGCGCTGGGGCTGCCTCGCCTGCTCTAAGTGTGTAAGGATGGAGACCTTCCCAGGGTTTAGGGTGGGTCTGAGAGTGCCCCAAGGGGCTGCCTCGCCTGCTCTAAGTGTGTAAGGATGGAGACCTTCCCAGGGTACAGTGCCCAGTACGGAACCTGACATATAATAAATGCAGCTTAGAGTATAATCAAGGAGGTGTTGGGCTCTACTACAGTTCCGTAAGAGTGGGAGATGTAACGTGTGCCTCCAGCGTGCCCAGCGCCACAGCCCGAGTTCTCCAAGCACTTGCTGCTCCTGCCAGCTCAACCAGAGGCCCTATATCCTGTGCCTCCCTATGTTGGAACAGGATGATTGCATTGACTTCCCTTTCAGAGAGGAGGGAAAATCCTGGTGCTGCCTGCAGACAACTGTCATGACCCATAGAGCAAAGGGGTTGCCAACTTACCATTGTGGTCGCCGCAGTCCAGGTCCATCTCAAACTCTGGGGCCTGAAGCTCACTCCAGGGCCAGCCCAAGAAGGCCAAATCTGGGTCTCCTTTCTCCAGCAGGGTCAAGGAGATCTTCCTGGCCAGAGCCTCCCCATCCGGCTCTTGAAGCAGGGTGCAGTGGTACTCCTTGGACAGGAGCTGCTCCGCCAGCAGGTGGTCCAGGAAGGCCTGCACCTGGCTCGGCTGATGGCTGGACAGCAGCATCTGGACCCGACTCAGGATGCTCTGGAAGTGGTTCATGGCAGTGCTCAGAGATGGGGCAGCTGCCTGGTCAGTCAGCGTCTGGGATCTTTGCTCACCCGTCCTGCGGCATCCAAAACATGAAGTGAAAAACAGGAGGGAACCTTGCAGTTTATTGTTGCTTATTCCTGCTTCAGATTTCCTCATTTGTGTGGGAGGCTGGATGGAAATGACTTCTTGGCTGATTCACACTCATGGATATTCTCTGGTATCTCCACCACCCTTGCAGGTGCCAGACAAGCCAGCCTTGTGGATTCCATTAGATCCAATCCAGTGTTTACTGAGAGTAAAGGAAACTACCCCCGTGGAGGAACTGTAAGGTGGCTGTGATGTGTTTCACTACAGCAGGAAGGCATTGCAGCCTAGAGGTGGAGCAGTTAGGTTTGGAGTTCACCTGCTCAGGTCAAATCTCAGACCTAACACTTGCTAATTATGTGCCTTTGAGCAAGTTACTTAGCCTCTTCTAATCTCCCTTCCTTCATCTAAAAAGTAGAGTGAGAGGGCCTCCCCCGTGGTGCAGCGGTTGAGCACTGGGTTGCAAAGCTGCCTGCAGCCTCTGCGGCTGCCTGCAGCCTCTGCGGCGCCGGTTCGATCCCCGCCTCGACCACCAGAGGAGGGTCCCACGTGGCGCACAGACCTCTCCTGCCGCCCGCTGCTCCCCTCAGCAGTGTGCTTCAGTCCTTCTGCCTGCTCTGCTCCCCACCCTGGCTCTGGTGAATTCTCTCACCCTCCCGCGCTTCTGACTGTACCCAGTGCTTGTTTAAACAACAAACAAACAAACAAACAAACAAATAAATAAAACATGCCTCTATATTAAAAAAAAATAAGTAGAGTGAGAGTAAAAGCTCACGAAGTATGGGGAGGATTAAATGAGCACATATTTCAAGCAGCTAGCACATTATCAACCACGTATAAATTTGAGCTATTATTATTACTGATTTACCGCACACAAAACTCTGTATCACCTTGGGTATAACTTCACTAAACCTTAGTCTCCTCTGAAAATCACCTAATAAGTGTAACCTGGACCCCTTAAGTTTATTGAGGAATAAGAAATGACACATTGAAGAGGCTTAGCACTGGATGTAATGGGCATTTAATGAACACTGACCATTTACTCATATTATTCGTAACGCACTAAACTTGGGTTTTGCGTAGGAACCACTCTATTCTAGGATTCAACTCTAAAAATCCCCAAGATGCAATTTCTTCTTATCATTCTGAAATACACCATGACCTTGTTTCCTCTCCTGGGTGCTCAGGTGGAACAATTTGCATGGGTCATTCAATGAGACAAATAAGGATTTCCGCTTCCATTACGGCTGAGGAGCTCCTACCTGCCCAACTTTACAAGTGATAAATGTAAAGTCTGGGAATAAGCATAAAAAGTAACTACCTGAAGGCACTATAGTGTGACCAGAGCAGTCAGTTACTGGAAGGGAGGCAACAGGTGGAAGCTGAGAATAGCAGAGTAAATTTCCCAGACCATGGGTTTAGCCTGAAGGCAAGTCTCTGTCTGAGTTATGCAGAGTATAAAACTTTGAAAAATGCAAAGTTTTGTTGGCCTAATAACTGGAGGACAGGATATGGGTTAGCAATAGTTTCTGGAAAGTAGGAGTAGAAATTCCAGGAAGGAGAGAGGCAGAGTTTTCTCCAAATTCTGTGTATAAACTACCCGAATATCTCACTGACCTCTGAACCACGTGTAACCCGTGGGCAGACTCCATACAGCTCCACTGGAGCTAAAGAAACTGAATTCAGATTCAAGTGGTAACATACTGCTGGGGTGGGTGGGAACAGGAGCCTTTGCATCTGATTCCAGCCAAGCTATGAGTTAGTTAAAACACTGACATGGGGCCTCCCTGGTGGTGCAGGCAGTTGAGCGCAGCGCTGTGAGGCTGTCTGCAGCCTCTACAGTGCCAGTTTGATCCCTGCTGGCCTCGGAGCAACCCACATGGCAAGCAGACCTTTCCTGTCTTGCCTGCTGCTCCCCTCAGCAGTGTATTTTGTCAGCCTGTCTGTTCTGTTCCCCGCTCTGTCTCTGCTGAATTCTCTCACCCTCCCGGGCATCTGACCTGTATCCCAGCTCTTGTATAAATAAAATAAATCTTTGGGGAAAAAAAAAAAAAAACCACTGACAAAAAGTAGCACTGTTCAAATTATAACAGAGTCCACAGTGTTTACAATATATCATTTATGATGTGCAACATATGTCCCTAATGTAAAATACTTGGTGCAGCATTTCGAACTTCAAGTCTGCTGCAAAACATCCTTCTGGTTTTCTTTTATGGAAAATGTCTCTTCCTCCTGCATCCTTTTTTTTTTTTAATACATATTCAGATTTTATTCATTGCAACCATTTATTATTTTTTTATTTAGATTTATTTATTTATGCATAGAAGAGCTGGGGTACAGGCCAGAGGTGTGGGGGGGTGAGAGGATTCACCAGAGACAGAGTGGGGAGCAGAACAGGTAGATTGACTGAAGTACACTGCTGAGGGGAGCAGCAGGCAGGACAGGAGAGGTCTGCTGTGCCATGTGGGTAGCTCCCTGGCCGAGAATTTGACTTGTGCCGCAGTAGCTGTGGATAGCTTCATAATGCTGAGACTTAACCCCTTGCGCCACCAGGGAGGCCCCTGATTGCTAGTTTTCTATATGTTATATAAAGGGGACTGATATTACTTCATGTAGGTTGGGAGAATGCAAAGTGTATAGTGTAATCCCTTGAATATAGCTCAACAGCAATTAGAAATTCATGCAGAATATCAGAAGAGACAATCCTGAGTTTGATTTAAATAAGCAAGCCAACAAGGTCCTGATGTCATAACTTCACGCATAAAGGCAGAAGGTAGTGAGCTCCAAAGCTCTTCCTCTCACCTAACAAAATATTTATACTTTCACACAAGCTGGGGTCTCAATGTAAACATGATTCCTAGGGTAGCAAGAGAATAAGATAATATAATTGCATGATTTGGTGGCCTTAAGGGTCATAATAATGCACAGAGCAAGTCAATAATTTTTGTGAACTGGTTATCTTAAAAGACTGTCTAAATCACATTCTTAAAGAATAGTTTTGTAATCACAAGGCCAATTTTCCATTCTCACACAGATCTCCCAAGACAGGAGAGAGAGAGGCACAATGATTCAAGGGTTCCCGAGTTCATCAGAGCAGCTCTGCTGCTCAGAACATTTCCCATGCTGTAGCTAGAGGGAAGAGGAAACTTTCACTCCATTTCTTCCTGAGACTTCTATTGCTGGAGTTTAGCAGCCAGACCATTTCTTGGACAAGGTGATAATGCTATTGATTAGGCCTAAGGAAAAGATGTGAGGACCTAAAATTTAGGAGTTAGGGAAGATGGAAGAGAGACGGCATGTAACCTCCAGCCATGGCCTGGGGGTGAGGGGAGATACTGAGAGAAACAGGAGGCCATCTTCTTAAGAACCTCACCTCTGCAGCACTTGAGAGGGAGGATAAGGTCATGAGAACCCATCAAACAACCCAAGTGGGGCTGGGGACCAGACCATAAAAGCCATCCACATGCCAAGGTGGGGTGAGGACAAGACATGCGATCACCCAAACATCCAAGGTGGGGGTGATGGATCATCGAACAGCAACACTGGGTACACAGAACCAGGGACAAGAGCAGGTTCTAGCCACTTCCAAAGCTGCCTTCCTCTTTCCTGCCAACCCAGCCACTACCTGCTCATATGATTAATCAGGAAAACCTAAATGCCAGCTTCTACTCCATCACTGACTCACTGAGCCACCACCACCACAGACAAGGCATTTCCCCTCTCTGCTCCACAATTTCATCACCTGTGAAATAAGTGAATCAGATTACATGATGCCTAGGATTTCTTTCAGTTCTGAAATGCTGTTGCCTATGGAACCCACTGGTCTTGGAGTCCCACATCCCCTGCGATCAATCACAAGCTCAGTCTTGTCCCCCACTCCAGCTATCAGATCCCTCTGCATGGTTTTTTCCCTTATAATCACATGTAGCCTGTGCTTTTACTTATCTGGTATTTTGCCTTAATTCATTTAATTTTTCATAAAGGAAAGTTTCTATCCTGTGACTAACACATGGAAAATATATCAACGATACAAAAGCCTCCCTGGTGGCACAGGCGGTTGAGCGCCACACTGTGAAGCTGTCTGCAGCCTCTGCAGTGCTGGTTTGATCCTGGCTGGCCAGCCGGTGAGAATCCCACATGACGCAGCAGACCTTTCCTGTCTCGCCTGCTGCTCCCCTCAGCAGTGTATTTCGTCAGTCTGCCTGTTCTGTTCCCCACTCTGTCTCTGGTGAGTCCTCTCACCCTTCCATGCATCTGACCTGTACCCCAGTTCTTGTATAATAAATCTTTTTTTTAAAAAGCTGAAATTCTTCAGGTGGTGAACTCACTGAAGTCCAATGGCTCTTGTGACAATGTCTCTTTATAACAGTTAGCAAGTGCTAGAGGGTATTAAAGATAGGCGAGCACTGAGCTGAAACTGTCTGCATCAGCAAACTGGGAATGCTAAGAAGCTACCAGCATGAATGCAGAAAAATGAGAATTCTCCTGCTCTGCAGGAAAGCGAATAGAATGTGCAATCACATAGGGTAATACTTTAGCTTTTGCTCTCCTCAGTACAGACCTCAGGAAAATTCTACACTCCTGCATTATAGCATACAAAGCAGCATTATTTATGATGAAAGAAAGATAAAACTCTTTAAGAAAATCTTTGAGAAAGAAAACTCTTTAAAACTCTTTAAAATTTATGAGAAAGAAAAATCAACCTAAGAATAGATATCTTTTATAAACCTTCAGGAGTACATGTGGTTTTAGTGAATTAAATGCAATAGCTCCCATCAAAGTGAAGGACTGTAATGGTTGTTAAAATGTAGTTAAATCAATTACGCACTGGGATATAGCACATGTTTTCAAGTTTCATAGTTGTGTTTGCAATTTTCTCCCCTCCTGTTTCATAGTAGTATGCTGTTACCTGTAAAAGTCTAAGTCCTTGGCTGCTAATGCCACGAGAT